AGGCGCGCCTGACCGCGACGCTGTAGCTCTCGCAGGAGGAAGTACCTCACGTCAATATGCTTCACCCTGCTCTCCCGTCGAGGCTCGCGACACAAGAGAATCATGGCCTTGTTGTCAGCGAACAAGGTCAGAGCAGAGCGAGGCCGCTCACCAAGGTCGGCAAGCAAGAAACCCTAAACCCTGAATGGAGTGGAACCCGTGCAAACAAACAGCGACGGGTCGGCAGAGGAGGGGTGAAACCTGAGGTCATGAAGCGTGGAGCGAAGAGTGTCGTGCCACTCATGAGGCGACTGGCAGAGACCGTAGACTGGTCGCCCCAGGCTCCACTGGGTCCCAGGTGGGAAGGTGCCAGTGAAGCCCGGAGGACGGTGCAGCCAGATCTCCTCGTGCAGTCGTCCCTGAAGGAAAGAAGTGGAGAAGTCGAGGGAGTGCAGCTCGTAGACTCGCTGTGCTGCTACGTGAAGTAACACCCGAAGAGTAGTCATTCTCGGGGTCGGGGCGAAGGTCTGAAAGAAGTCAACTCCCTCGCGCTGTCTGAAGCCCTTCGCCACTTAGTGCGCCTTGAACACCGGTGGTGATCCAGGCGGTCGCTTCACCTTGAAGAGCAACATGCAATCGACGATGATCGCCCGTGGAGGGGGAACTGCGTCGACGTAAGTGCCTGTGGATCTCCAGGACGCCATCTCTGAGTCCATGGGTGCCTTCCACTGGGAGGCTCACTTCCCTGACACTGCCTCACGGTACGTGCGAGGAGCCGGTATGTCAAGGGCGTCTGGGTCTCCCTCAGGGGAGAGCAGCATGGCACAGAGAGAGGGAGAAGCGGTTGCCAAGAACTCCAGCTCGAACTGCCTGTCCTCTAGGACGTCACAGCCAAGGGCAAACTCACCCCCGGCGGATAGAGGGCGGGCAGACGGAGCAGCCACAACACGAGTGGCGAAGTCAAGGCGGCGGGTGGTAGCAAAGTCAGCGACAGCAGTAGTAAGAGCCGAGACAGACGACGGAGAGGCACGAGGGTGGTGACAAGGGAGGCGAGAACACGCAAGAGAACAGGATAAAAAACACGGTAGTATTCCGAGATAGGAGTGGGGGAAACAGGGAGAGACGACGCAGGAGGAGACGGGAGAACAGACGCAGGAGGAGAACGACGACGACTAGAACAAAGGAGGGCAACGCGGAGGTCAGAAACAGGAGACGAGGGACGAGCACTCGGAGGGTAGGGACGAACGCGAGAGTGCTTGACCATGGGAGGAGAGTAAACAACAGGCGATGCGTCCGGAGGAGGTAACGGAGGACCGGAGACAAGGGGAGAAGGAGAGGGAAGTCCGAGGGTCTGAAGACCACTCACAGGTGGGAACAACTGCGGCAGGAGGGGCAGCTGTAGTGGCTGCGACGGCTGCTGCTGCTGCTCCTGCTGCACCTCCTGCTACTCTTGCTGGTCCAGCTGCTACAGCTCCCGTCGCTCTTGCTCCAACCGCTCCTGCTCCTCGCGAGCACGTCGGGCAGCCGTCTGGAGACGTGTGTCGTAGCGGTGGGGAGGCTCAAAAGACGATGAAGTAGCAGTGCTCCTAGCTCCAACCCCCGCAGAGCTGGTACCGCCAGTGCCACCACCCCCAGAGCTGGAGACGCCGGTGCCAGGGACCCCAGCACTAGCACATCCTGTACGAGCACTCTCAGTGCCGGCACCCCCAACCCCCGAAGCCCCAGCACCCGCACCCCTAGCGGTAGCACCCCCCAGACGAGCACCCCTAGAACCAGCACCGCCAGTGCCAGGTCCCCCAGTGTCAGCATCCCCTGCGTCCACAGAAGCCTATCGCGGAAGAGCCGAAGGCCGCGGGGGGGACTGGGAGGAGGACTGCGGGGAGGGGAGTAACACCGGACGGGCTACCGAAGGCGGAGGGGCAGCCTGGGACACACCTGACGGGGCAGGACCAGGGGGGAGCGGTGGTACCGGAGGGGCGGGCGCAGGAGGAGAAGTGGGGGTGAGGAAAAGGGGAGGTGGAGGAACCGAGAGACCTCGACAGGGGTAGCGGGTGTAGTAAGACACAGACTTGTCAAACCGGACGTCACAGGAGTCAAGAAACTGGTGGAGGGGAGGGTGGTAAATGGAGTAGTCGCAGGAGTCCACCAGAAAACCGAGGAAGACACAGGGAATGGCGCATGCGGAGAGCTTGTCCGCAGAGGTGTCGCGGACAAGCGCAAGGTAGCCCCACACACGAAAGGCCGAACCAACACCAGGGGACCAGGTCCAAAGACTGGTCGGGGAAACCTCTGGCCGCAAGACACGCGACTGGAGGTTCAGCTAGTGGGCGGCGTAGCGCACCGCGTAGGGCCACAGAAAATGGGGCGCACGGGCATGGATCATGGACGTGCGGGCAATGTCCATGACCAAGCCAATGCGGCGCTCAGCAACCCCATTCTGTTGTGGGGACTTTGGCAGCGTCCAGGACTGAGAGATGCCCTGTTCGCCACAGAATCCAGCGAGAATGCCGGAGCGAAACTCACCCCCACGGTCGGGGTGAAGACGTGAGACACGACGACCACGGGTAGCCTAAGTGACAAGAAGCCACCGGATCAGCGTAGAAATCACCTCGGACTTCTTCGCGAGAGGAAACACCATGGTGTACCTGGAGTAGTCGTTGACAACCACCAGAAACTAGCGCTCTTGCTCAGGGCCCTGCCGCAAGGCAGGGCCCCAGACGTCCAGGTGAAGCGTCTGGAAGGGAACAGTGGCCATGCGGAGGGAGGAGGAGTGCAGAGTGGCGCGTAGGCAGCCGGCGACGCAAGGAGTGCACGGCGGGGCAAGCGAGGGAGGTAGCGACGGAAAGACGCTCGAGAGACCTGAGACAAGGCCCTGATTGGTCATGCTGCAGAGGCGAGAGATCGACGGGTGGCCAAGATGGTGGTGCCACAAAACCGTCGGGTGGGTAAGGGACCGACAGGAGTAAGACGCAGCAACCTGACCAGACGCGGCCACCTGACCTGACGCAGCAACCTGAGTGGATGCAGCAACCTGACGAGGCAACTCGGGAGTGCTCTGTGTGAAGGACGTAGAGACTGGAGCGAGGCTCCTGGGTGAACGTGGCCAGAACAACACCTGTAATAGCGTCCGTATAGACCGAAGTCCTCCCACCCCCCACAAAGGTAACGGTGATCCCTTTCTCCTAGAGGTATCCAACACCCACCAAGTTCCGAGTGAACGAGGGGATGTGGAGGCCGCGCAGGACACCAAAGGGGACCACAGGGCACGGGAGGGTGGTGGAGCTGCGCGCAGCGGCTGGTCCTGAGGATAGATCAGTTAGAGTTACCGGAACAAGAGCAATGAGTGGCGTGAGGGTCGTGTGGTCGCGGAAGAAGCACTAGGACGCGCCAGAGTCCAGTGTGAAAGACAAGGACGCCTCCACCGGAGGTGCACCTGGTCCGGTGGCTACACAAGCACCTAGAGCACAAACACATGCACCTAGACTAGAAAGGCACAAATCTGCACTAGTAAGAGGCAAGCATCCTAGGCTAGGAACACGCGAGCACAAAGATCCATCAGCACTATAGTCAGCATCGGCATACAAAGCATAGTGACGTGCATCATCCATGGACAGATCAAACACAAGAACCTTACGGGCTAGCAGGCGAGCCCAACACGGGGTCGTCGCGTGCGCACCCCAATGCGCACAGTAAAGGTCGTCCAGACGACGGAAGCACCGCGCCGCAGAGTGGTCGTTGCGGCCGCAGACACAAGGACTGCCCGGTCCGATGAAGCACCAATGGTCGCAAGGGCCGGTGTCGCGGCGAGGGGGACGAAGGCCCCAACTGGCAGTGTTGCTGCTGCTGCTGCTCCTTGGGCCTCCAAGTTCCCACTACGGCGTAGGGCCCCAGTGCTGCTGTGGACCTCATTGCAGTGAAGGTCCCCACGGCTGAAACTGTTGCAATGCCTGCTGCTGCTGCTGACCCTGCTACTGCTGCTGTCTTTGCTGCGGCTGCTGCTGCTGCTGTCCCTGCTGCTACTGCTGCTGTCCCTGCTGCTACTGTTGCTGCTATCTTTGCTATGGCTGCTGCTGCTGCTCCTGGGGTCTCTATCAAACATTATATATGTTGTACTTGTTTAGGCTACAGTGGGTTAGCCTTTAGTGGGTACACAATTCTAGGGTTAGGTTTGACCTATTTGTACCCAACCCTCATTCTAGTCCATCATTCCTGTTTCTTCATTTTAACATGGTTTCAGAGCAGGTCCTTCGCTAGGACCGGTTTTTTTTTTTTTTTTTTTTTTTTAAGGGCCCACCACTAACTGCCTACTAGGAGGGCCCTCTAGAGCCTCCTCCCCCAGCGCCCTTGTGCGCCTCTCTTTCACGGCCCCCTAAGGCCTCGCGACCCGCGACCCGCCCCTTAGCGACCCGAGCGCCGCCCCTTAGAGGCCCCGTCGACCCGTCGCGCCGCCCCCCTAGAGGCCCCGCTGGCCCGTCGACCCCTCGTGCGCCCCGCCTAGAGGCCCCACTAGTCCCGTCGACCCCGCGCGCGCCCCACTTAGAGGCCCCGTCGGCCCGTCGACTCCGCGCGCACCCGCCCCTTAGCGGCCCCGTCGGCCCTCGTCGACCCCGTGCGCGCCCGCCTAGAGGCCCCGCTGGCCCAGTCGACCCCTCGTGCGCCCCGCCTAGAGGCCCTGCTGGCCCCGTCGACCCCGCGAGCGCCCCCCCTAGAGGCCCAGTCGGCCCGTCTACCCCGCGCGCACCCGCCCCTTAGCGGCCCTGTCGACCCACCCACAGCCCCTTAAAGCCCCGCGCGCGACAGCCACGGCCCCGCCACACCCAGGCCACCCGAATCGAGCCGCCCGAACCGAGCCGCCCAGTCCGAGCCGAGCCGCGCGACCCGACCGAGCCGCGCCGCCCAAACCGAGCCGCGCCGCCCGTACTGAGCAGCCTCTCTGGACCGAGCCGCCCTACCTGACTCGCGCTGCCTACTGCTTCTAGGGTGCACCTACTGCTACTGCTGCTGCTGCTACTACTGCTGCTATGGCTAGCCCTCCTGTGCTAGCTTTCGATGCTGAGGGCCGCCCAGTGAAGTTTGACACCTGGCTAGATGACCTGCACCTCTTCCTACAGCTCACTGCCAAGGAGGACATCTCACTGTATGATCATGCCCTAGGCCATGCCGCTGCCCCTGCCACTACTGCTGACAGCACTACCCGCTCCCAGTGGCAGACTCGTGACGCCCACGCTCGCTTTGCTATTCGCAACTCCTTGCCGATAGATGAGCGCGAGCACTTTGGCCAGCACAAGACTGCACAGGCGCTGTACACTGCTGTCGTTGCCCGCTACTCCTCACCTGCCTCTGCCGCACTAGGTCGTCTCTCACTCCCCTACCTGTTCCCCGACCTGGCCTCTTTCCACACAGTCGCTGACCTCATCACTCACCTCCGCACTAGTGAGGCCCGCTTTCGTGCCGCTATGCCCGCTGAGTTTCTTACCACCCACCCCCCCCCGCTCTGGCTCACTCTCTACCACCTAGTCACCCGCCTCCCTGACACTCTGCGTGCAGTCAGGGACCACTTCCTAGCTCGCTGCCCCACTGAGCTCACCATTGACCTCCTCGAGAAGGAACTGCTTGCAGCTGAGAAGAGTATTGTAGCTGTAGGTGGCGACCCCCGCACCCCGTTCTTCGAGGGGTGTTCCCCTTCCCCCCTTCTCCCCTCTGTCGCCTCTGCTGCTGCTGTCGACCTCCTCGGTGCTGAGAAGGCCGGGACTACGTCTGCTTCAAGCTGGCGCCGCAGCGACAAGGGCAAAGGGGGCAAGGGAGGCGGAGGTGACGGCGGGGGAGGCGGTGGTGGGGGCGGTGGCGGCGGTGGCGGTGGTGGTGGGGCTGGAGGGACTAGTGGCAGCGGTGGGGGTGGTGGCGGCAGCGGCGGGGGAGGTGGCAGGGGCGGGGGCGGTGGTTGGGGCGGCGGTGGACGCGGCCGCGGCAGGGGCGGGGGTGGTCGAGGTGGTGGCGGAGGCGGTGGTGGACGTGGAGGCGCTGGCAGTGGCCAGAGCCAGCAGCACGCTCGTCGCTCCAGGAGGCCCGTGAGTGGTACTCTCAGCACGGGGGGGGGGGGGGGGGGGGAGTGGCCTTAGCTGCACGTACGTCATCCGCACTGGAGACCGCGCTGGTCAGCCGTGTGGGAGGCCGCACACCACGCAGCGCTGGTTCTCTCGCCTCGACGACGCTTGGCGTGCTCAGTTCCCTGAGGCCTCTGAGCTGCCCTGCTGGCTTGATCTGCTGAAGAAGGGGGTTGATATCTATGCTCTAGACTTTGATGCTATTATCACTGCCATGTATGTGATGTCTACTAGTGGAGAGGGTGCTCACTACCTGCGTGTTCCGCCCGACCCGGGCATTCGGACCAGTGAGGCTGCCGCTCTAGGTGCTAGTGCGTCTGCCCCTCCAGGTACTTGCGTGTCTGCTACCCCAGGTGCTGGTGAGGCTGCTGCTCTAGGTGCTTGTGAGTCTACGCCCCCTGGTACTGAGTCGACTGAGGCACTGCACACCTTCACACTGGACTCAGGCGCTTCTCGCTGTTTCTTTCGTGACCGCACTGCCCTTGAGTCGCTTGCTCGGCCAGTTGCTGTCTCTCTTGCTGACCCCTCTGGGGGTCCGGTCATTGCGACCTCCTCCACTGTTCTACCTTGTCATGCGGTCCCGTCGGGCACACTGTCAGGTCTCCACCTCCCCTCGTTCTCTACGAACTTGGTGGCGGGTTGTGCGCTCCAGGACGGGGGTGTTCACCAGTTCACCCCTGCCTACGAGCGCGTGACACACTGCACGTGTGCTCGGACGGGCCATCACCTGGCTACCTTCACACGGCAGCCGGGGTCGGACCTGTACACACTAACCACTGAGTCCCCTCAGGTAGCTGCGTCTGCGTCTGCGTCAGGTCAGCTGTCGGCCCCCTGCTCGTGTCGCTCTCTGGCGCACGAGACCGTCCTCTGGCACCACCGACTTGGTCACCCGTCCGTGCAGCGCCTTCGTGCCATGCACAAACGGTACCTTGTCTCTGGTCTTCCCAGGGTTCTCCCTCCCCTACCACCCTCGCCTGCTCCTACCTGTCTTCCCTGTGTCGAGGGGCGGCAGCGCGCCGCTCCTCACTCCTCCTCGTTTCCCCCGACGACTGCTCCCTTGCAGACGCTCCACATGGACGTGTGGGGCCCAGCCCGCGTCCGTGGTCAGGGTCAGGAGAGGTACTTCCTGATTGTTGTTGACGACTTCTCGCGCTACACCACGGTCTTCCCCTTGCGCACCAAGGGTGAGGACCCTGATGTCTTGATCCCCTGGGTCCGCAGAGCCCGTCTTCAGCTCAGCGAGCGTTTCCGCTCGGAGTTTCCTGTCCTGCGCTTGCACTCTGACAGAGGTGGTGAGTTCTCCTCCGACCTCTTGGCAGCCTACTGTGCCGACCACGGCATTGAGCAGTCGTTCACGCTTCCGGCCTCTCCACAGCAGAATGGGGTTGCTGAACGCCGCATTGGCTTGGTCATGGAGGTCGCTCGTACCTCCTTGATCCATGCGGCTGCCCCCCACTTTCTGTGGCCGTTTGCAGTCCGGTAATCTGCGCATCAGCTCAACCTCTGGCCCCGTGTCTCCTTGTCGGAGACCTCGCCCACACTGCTGTGGACGGGGGAGGTTGGCGATGCGTCTCGTTTCCGGGTCTGGGGATCTCGAGCTTTTGTCCGCGATACGTCCGCAGACAAGCTCTCCTCCCGCGCTGTTCCTTGTGTCTTCCTGGGCTTTGTCCCTGACGCGGCTGGTTGGCAGTTTTACAGCGCCACCACGCGCCGTGTCCTGCCCTCTCAGGACGTCACTTTTGACGAGTCCGTGCCCTACTACCGCCTCTTCCCCTACCGCACTGCTCCGCTCCCCCCCCCGCCTCTCTTCCTCGCGCCAGGTGCTGCTGTGGTAGACCCCCTCCCCCCTCAGGGTGCCGCTCCCTCAGGTGTGTCCCAGGTAAACCCGGTTGAGCCTGTCGAGGTAGCTGTCGACTCTCGTCCTGCTAGGGGTGCTGAGCTTGGGGGTGAGGGGCCTGAGGTTGCGGAGTCTGGGGGTGCTGAGCCTGGGCGTGCGGAGCCTGGGGGTGCGGAGTCTGGGGGTGCTGAGCCTGGGGGTGAGGAGCCTGCGGGTGCTGAGTCTGGGGGTGTTGAGTCTGGAGGAGCTGAGTCTGGAGGTGCTACACCTGGAGGAGCTCTGTCCTCCGAGCAGCTACGTGAGTGGTACTTACAGTACTGCCGCCTTAGGAGAGGTGTCTCTGGAGCTAGGAGTGCTGCTGGAGCTGGTGCTAGTGCTTCCCCTCCTAGGCGGGCGCTGCCCTCTCCTCAGCAGCTCCGCGAGTGGTACGCTCGGCACTGCAGTCTCCGGAGTGGCGCTCCTTGCGTCGTGGACCCAGGTGCTGCTGGTGCTACTGGAGGTGCTGCTAGAGCTGATGGAGGTGCTGATGGAGCTGCTGGAGGTGCTGCTGGAGCTGCTACTGGTGCTGCTGGTGCTGGTGCTGCTGGAGCTGCTGGAGGTGCTGCTGGTGCTGGAGCTGCTGCAGCTGCTGGAGGTGCTGCTGGAGCTGCTCGAGGTGCTGCTGGTGCTAGTAGTGCTGGTGCTGGAGCTGCTGGAGGTGCTACTGGTGATGCGGACCCGGGCGTTGGAGCTGCTGCTGGTGCTGTGGACCTGGGCGTTGGAGCTGCTGCTGGTGCTGTGGACCCTGGAGCTGGAGCTGTTGCTGGTGCTGGGGGCTTTGGAGCTGGTGTCTCTGCTGGCTCTGGAGACGCAGCGCGGCCGCGGCCGTACTTCGTTCAGCTCCTTCAGCAGGTTCTTGGTCAGCCTCCTCCTCCTTGTCCTCCTACCTCCTTAGCGTTTCCTCCGTCTGACCAGTCGCAGTCACAGTTACCGCCTGCCTTCCCTCTCCCTTGTCCTGCTCCTTACACTGGTCCGACTGGAGGTCTTACTGAGCGTCGTGAGCCTGAGTCTCGTTTTGCGTCGCCTGAGTCTCGTCGTGCGTCGCCTGTCCGCACTGCACGCACTGGTCGTCGTGCTCCACGTGAGCGTCCTCCTCCTGTTCTAGGCACTCACTACATGACCCTGCGTCAGTCCACTGCTCCACAGCGCGTCCCTCTGCCGTCTCCTCCTGCGTCCTCTCTTCCTGACGTTGCCGACCCGCCGTCAGACCTTACTCGTGCTGCCAGTCCTACAGTCGCGCGTCTCCTTGCCACTGTTGTCACTGACCCTACCTTTGAGTCCTCTGCTGCGTCTGCTCTAGTCGCTGAGCTTGTTGACTTTGCTGCCGCCTGTCGTCTTGACTACGCCGCTAGCCTTGTCGCTGAGTCTGAGTCTGTCTGTCCTCCGTCCGTCGGGGGTGAGTGTGCTTTTGGCACGGACGTCCTTGAGGACAGGCAGGAGGAGTTTGAGTTCTTTGCCGCTGCTTTGCCCCATCTTGTGTCCATGCTAGTTGCCCCTGAGGGAGACCCGGATGCACCAGACATTCCGACCCCACGCTCCTACGCAGAGGCGATGGAGGGTGAGTACTCCTCTTAGTGGCAGACAGCCATGGACGCAGAGATGGCTTCCTGGAAGTCCACAGGCACCTACGTCGACGAGGTTCCCCCACCTGGGGCGAACATCGTCAGTGGCATGTGGATTTTCAGGGTAAAGCGGCCGCCGGTTCTCCGCCTGCCTTCAAGGCGCGCTACGTTGCACGAGGCTTCAGTCAGCGAGAGGGAGTTGACTTCTTCCGGACCTTCTCCCCGACCCCGAAGATGACCACTCTTCAGGTTCTGCTGCACGTCGCCGCTCAGCGTGACTACGAGCTCCACTGCCTTGACTTCAGCACTGCGTTCCTGCAGGGCACCCTGCACGAGGAGATCTGGCTGCGCCGCCCACCTGGCTTCACTGGGTCGTTCCCTCCTGGTACCCAGTGGAGCCTCCGGCGGCCGGTCTACGGTCTCCGCCAGGCGCCCCGTGAGTGGCACGACACACTGAGGACTACTCTTGCTGCTCTTGGGTTTGCTCCTTCTACTGCTGACCCGTCGCTGTTTCTACGCACCGACACCACTCTGCCGCCGTTCTACGTTCTCGTGTACGTAGACGACTTGGTCTTTGCTACTTCTGACACTGAGGCACTCGCCCACGTGAAGTCGAAGCTGCAGAAGAGACACACGTGCACAGACCTGGGTGAGCTCACAAGCTATCTTGGCTTGCGGATCACCCGGGACAGAGCACAGCGCACCATCACCTTGACTCAGTCACACATGGTGCAGCAGGTCCTTCAGCGCTTCCGCTTCACGTGCTCCTCGCCTCAGCCCACTCCTCTGCCTACCGGTCACTCGCTCTCAGCTCTGCCTTCGGATGAGTCCGTAGAGCCGAGTGGCCCGTATCCAGAGCTTGTGGGCTGCCTCATGTACCTGATGACCTGCACTCGACCTGACCTAGCCTACCCTCTTAGCATCCTAGCACGCTATGTTGCTCCTGGCCGTCACAGGAAGGAGCACATGGATGCCACTAAGAGGGTGTTGCGCTACTTGTGCAGTACGTCGGGCATGGGGCTTGTGCTTGGAGGCCGGCTCGACGTTGTCCTCACTGGACACTCAGACGCTTCTTGGGCTGACGACCAGGCTACGCAGCGGTCGTCTCAGGGTTACACCTTCAGCCTTGGCTCTGGCTCTGTTTCTTGGCGTTCTACACGCTCTTCCTCTGTTCTCAGCTCCAGTTGTGAGGCTGAGATCTACGCCACAGCCATGGCTGCCCAGGAGCTACGCTGGCTCACCTACCTGCTGACCGACCTTGGAGAGCGACCTCGTTCTCCTCCAGTGCTGTACGTCGACAACAAGGCAGCCATTGCCTTGTGTGAGGAGCACAGACTGGAGCACAGAACGAAGCACATCGCTCTGCGCTACTTCCTTGCTCGAGAGCTGCAGCAGCGTGGTCAGCTTCGTCTGCGTTACGTGGCCACTCGGGCCAACACTGCTGATGTGTTCACCAAGGCGCTTCAGGCCTGTGACCATCAGCGTTTCTGTACTGTTCTAGGCCTTGTGCCTACTCTCCCTCACTTGCTCACTTCTTGACTCTGCTTGTACTGTGATCTCTATATATATACCTGCATGCTTTCACTTGCTAGGTTGTGATCACTGTACCTCTTGTTTATTATCAAACTGCATGTGAACTGGTCTTGTGACCACTTGCTTGTGCTCGGAATTTGTGTGGTATCCTTTGAGATCCACCTTGAGCTTACTTGTGACCCCTTGTTCTCCCCCACTTTGCCTATGGGGGTGTGTCAAACATTATATATGTTGTACTTGTTTAGGCTACAGTGGGTTAGCCTTTAGTGGGTACACAATTGTAGGGTTAGGTTTGACCTATTTGTACCCAACCCTCATTCTAGTCCATCATTCCTGTTTCTTCATTTTAACAGTCTCGTACCCCTGCCGGTCGAACCAACTCCAACTGGCGGGCCCGTCTGGCCGGCACCTCCTCCAGGGCTCCCTTCGCCCGGTGGACCTCCGCCGCCGCCACCACCGCCACCCCTAGCTCCTCCTCCACCACCGCCTCCTCCGCCACCGCCGCCACCCCCCTTCCCCCCCTTCTTGCCACCCTTGCCCCGTTTCTGCCAGTCAGCGGCAGAAGTAGCTGGAGTTTCCTCAGAGACCAACACATCATCAGAGGCACAAGTTGCAGTGAAGAGAAATGGGTTTCTGGAGGTGGAATGCTGGCCTTTGTTAGGAGGATGACTCATCGTGTGGGTGTAAATTTCGGGTTTTGATGGCGCATCGTTACGTTACAGAGCCGTAAAGGGGATACAATTGAATTCAAGGGTCCCACTACACTCCCACATTCGTGGAATGCTGGAGCAGGACTTTAGCGTGCCAATGCGGATTCACCTTTTGATTGCTGATCATTTTTCGAACAGCCACGATTTTGCCAGGTCGGTGGTGATTGTTTTCACATCCAGGCCGTGTAAGACCTCCAGTCACAGATGTGTCCAAATGCAAACCAGAGTTCGGACCAGAATCAGGTGGGTGGCTCAAACGTTGAGAACGGTGCAACCGTTTTCAACCGTTTCAGCCAAGCGCGCTGAATACAGTATTGAATTGGGTGGTACGAGGTGGCGCATTGAAGGTAGTGTGAGGGAGCGGGTGCTTTGCTTTGGTGAAAGGGTTATGGTGAAGTTGGGGTCAAGTCGGGGACGTGTCTCTTGCAGCCATGGTTTGTGAAACCATTATTTGTATCTCGTGGTTGAGAACGGTGAAAAATGTTTCAGACATTTGTAGCCATCGCGAAGTGAACTGAAGGACGCGACAAAGACTTACGGAAGGAAACTGTACCGCGCCCTTGCGGATGTTTTCAACTGTTTGTGCAGGGTCAAGCTTCAAGCTCAAGCAGTTCCTAACCGTCATGCACGGAACATGCAGGGAGGGATTGGGTAGGGGGGGAACACACTCACTACAGTTCGGCATTTTGAGAAAAAAGAATTACAGTACTAAGTGCACACCTCCATTGCCCGGCATTCGTAAGCGCTCACGCTGCCAACCCAGCCCAAGTAGAACATAACAGCTGGGTGTGTCGTGCAACACGAATCTGGACGCGCAATGTGTTTATGTGCGACAGACTGACGGGAGATCGCATTCGTTCGACTAGTGTCGAGGTGTGATTGTCGCATCGTAACTCTCTGTTCAAAGTCAGCAACGGATCCGGTCGAAGCGAATTTAAAATCCAGCGACCAATTCACGAGTGCAAAATGATTCAAGGACCTATTTAAAATCAGAGTCTGCATTATCTTCAAGCGTTGATATGATTCTATGGAGCATTATCAAGAAGTACAAGAAACATAACATCAAATATAAACTAATCATTCAAAAGTGATTTCCCAGGAAGAACGAAAAACTAGAAGCGAAGAAAATGTCATAATTAAGACATTGAGCCTAATACATTTGGCGCAACTATGAATTTATACACTTTAAATTATTCGCATGTTTAATATTATGGGTCTATAAACTTCAAATAATAGCACGTGATCTTATAATTATTACGAATGAATATAACAAAATACGGTTATGCAGTAATGTTGCATAAATTTGAAATATTGATCAACATACCTTGTTTTCCATATGTATTTATTGGATCATTGTGCGTATGCTTTTGTCGAATTTTGCTCCATAACCGTAAGTCACGGCGTCTGTAAATCGAATCGCTTGAGTTGGAGTACGCTGATAAAATATTCTTGAAGCACACCCATTTTAGCTATAATTGGTCAGATTTGTCACTGCGAGATTTTCAACTTGACCAAACCCGACCACGCTTCGGGTTTGCAAGTGCGGTTCGGGTTTGTAAGTGTACGCGGTGGCCTAGTGGTTTCCATTTGATAATGATATGAGGTCTGTGCCTCTATTTTGTTTCGTCCTGCCCACATGTTAGAAAACGTTATGTGGGCGGGGTGGGGTGCTCTCAGAATAAGCAGGAAGAATGAGTGCACTATGGGATGAAACAAGAGTACAAGTGCTAACCCCAATTGGGTTGTACCCCATATAGCCTACCCCACAGCAGCCTACAATACATGCATCAGCTAAGATAATCTGACACACCCCCATAGGCAAAGTGGGGGAGAACAAAGGGGTCACAAGACCAGTCAAGAAAAAGGCAAAGCAAAGCAAGCTCAGGGTGGATCTCAAGGATACCACACAAATTCCGAGCACAAGTTCAAGGCCACAAGGCCAGTTCACATGCAGGAGAGCATATATATATAACAGTGCTAAACAAGCAAGAGCAGATATATATATATGCAACAGTACAAGCAAGGTCAAGAGGTAAGCAAGTGAGGCCCGTCGGGGGTTCTGGTGCTGCCGGTCCCGGAGCTGCTGGGCCTGCGGGTCCTCCTGGAGCTGGAGCTGCTGAGGGTGTTGGTGCTGAGCCTACTGCTGCTGGTCCTGCCGCTGGAGGAGTGCGTGACGCTGGTGCTGTCGCTAAGGGTGCTGGTGCTGTCCCTGCTGCGTCTGGAGCTGCCTCGCGGCCTCGGCCGTACTTCGTTCCGCTTCTGCAGCAGGTTCTTGGTCCTTCTCCTCCAGTAGAGTGTCCACAGCCTGTCCAGTCGCAGTCCCTGCTGGAGCCTTCCTCTCCACTGCCTGCTCCCTCTCCTTACACTGGTCCTACTGGAGGTCTTGCTGAGCGTCGTGAGCCTGCGTCTCGTCCCGCATCGCCTGTTCGTGCTGCTCGCGCTAGTGGTCGCAGTTCGCGTCAGCGTCCTCCTCCTGTCCCTGGCACGCACCGGATGTCTCTGCGTCCGTCCACTGCTCCTCTGCGTGCCCCTTTGCCTTCTCCTCCTGAGTCCTCTCTTCCTGCGCTTGCCGACCCTGAGTCGGACTCTCGTCGTGCTGCCAGTCCTACTGTCACGCGTCTACTTGCTACTGTCGTCACTAACCCCTCTTTTGAGTCCACTGCTGCGTCTGCTCTTGTCGCTGAGCTCGTCGACTTTGCTGCTCGCTGTCGTCTAGACTACGCTGCTAGTCTTGTTGCTGAGTCTGCGTCTGTTTGTCCTCCGTCCGTCGGGGGTGAGTGTGCTCTTGGCACGGACGTCCTCGAGGACAGGCAGGAGGAGTTACAGTGTCTAGCGGCTGCTTCACCTCATCTCGCGTCTGTACTGCTTGCCCCTGAGGGAGACCCGGATGCACTAGACATCCCGACTCCGCGTTCTTACGCGGAGGCCGTAGAGGGTCCCTACTCCTCTCAGTGGCAGGCAGCTATGGATGCAGAGATGGCTTCCTGGAAGTCCACAGGCACCTACGTTGACGAGGTTCCCCCTCCTGGGGCGAACATCGTCAGTGGCATGTGGATCTTCCGGGTGAAGCGGCCGCCGGGCTCTCCACCTGTCTTCAAGGCGCGGTACGTTGCTCGTGGCTTCAGTCAGCGGCAGGGAGTTGACTACTTTCAGACCTTCTCTCCCACCCCGAAGATGACTACTCTTCGGGTGCTGCTGCACATAGCCGCTCAGCGCGACTACGAGCTTCACTCTCTCGACTTCAGCACTGCGTTCCTGCAGGGTAGCCTGCACGAGGAGATCTGGCTGCGCCGTCCGCCTGGCTTCACTGGGACTTTCCCTCCTGGCACCCAGTGGAGCCTCCGACGGCCAGTCTACGGTCTCCGCCAGGCACCTCGTGAGTGGCACGACACACTGAGGACTACGCTTGCGGCTCTTGGGTTTGCTCCTTCTACTGCTGACCCGTCGCTGTTTCTGCGCACCGACACTTCTCTGCCGCCGTTCTACATCCTCGTGTACGTCGACGACTTGGTCTTTGCCACAGCGGACACTGCTGGACTCGCCTACGTGAAGTCCGAGCTGCAGAAGAGACACACGTGCACAGACCTGGGTGAACTGCGCAGCTACCTTGGCTTGCAGATCACTCGGGACAGAGCACGCCGCACCATTACCTTGACTCAGTCACACATGGTGCAGCAGGTCCTTCAGCGCTTCGGCTTCACGTACTCCTCGCCTCAGGCCACTCCTCTGCCTACTCGCCACTCACTCTCAGCTCTGCCTTCGGATGAGTCCGTAGAGTCGAGTGGTCCGTATGCAGAGCTTGTTGGCTGCCTCATGTACCTGATGACCTGCACACGACCTGACCTTGCATACCCTCTGAGCATTCTTGCACGCTATGTTGCTCCTGGTAGACACCGACCAGAGCACATGGCTGCAGCGAAGAGGGTATTGCGCTACCTGTGCAGTACGTCGGGCATGGGGCTAGTGCTTGGAGGGCGGAGTCCAGTGGTCCTTACAGGCCACGCGGACGCTTCTTGGGCTGACGACCAGGCTACGCAGCGGTCGTCGCAGGGTTACACCTTCAGCCTTGGTTCCGGCTCTGTCTCGTGGCGGTCTACTCGCTCGTCTTCGGTTCTCGGCTCCAGTTGTGAGGCTGAGATCTACGCCGGGGCCATGGCTGCACAGGAGCTTCGCTGGCTCACCTACCTGCTGACTGACTTTGGAGAGCCGCCTCGTTCTCCTCCAGTGCTGTACGTAGACAACAAGGCCATGCTGGCCTTGTGTTGAGAGCAGCGCTTGGAGCACAGAACGAAGCAC